CCAAACTTATTATCGATTCTCTCTTGTTTTGTCTCTTATTTATCATACGTCGCTATATAGTTCTTGTTATATCGTGGTGGTGATGGTGGTTGTGGAGGAAGTAGTACTACTATTACTAGTATTAGTAGTAGTAGTGATAGTCATAGCGGTTTAGGCAACATATTGTTCAAGACAATATTACCTGTAAAAAACAGAAATAAAGAATAACATATGCTGACTATTTTTCTCTGTGCCGCTAACGCAAGAAATTTTACCGTCATCTTGCCTACCATTACTGCTCGTTCGACTCCTAGTCATCTCAAATACGAGATTTGCAAGATGTAATTATTTTTAATATACTCGAGAATTGGTACTTTCATAAAGGATATCCGGCTCCTAGATATGGGAAGTAATCCAGTTTTATCCAAGGGAAGTTAGTGTAGAATTAATTTTTCGAATCGAGTGCTTTTCAACCTGTAGCTTGGTTGGTAACGCTCTCTGCTCACACACTGAGGTCCGTGGTTCAGTCCCCGATACAAGTGGAAACATTAGGACGTGTTTCCTTAAGACACCTGCTGTCCCTGTTTACCTAACAATAAGTAGGTACCTGGGTGTTAGCCGAGTGGTGTGGGTCGCATCCTGGGGACAAAATTAACTTAAGCTGCCAGAAATGTTCTGCATAACCGGGGGATTTTTATATAGTATGTCACTGATATCAATCTAGGTCTGTAAATATTGTTTCATGCAATAAACGTTATTTATTATTATTATTATTATTATTATTATTATTAAAGCACTCTCCGTAAGATAGTGTTTCTGACATTAAATACCCACAGTACTATACAATAATGAAGGTTTCTGCCAGGCTTGATTACACATCAACGATCATTTATAAAGCTTTAAGGCGAGCCAGAAAAATTATATTGCTTTTCGGATTTGCTGCCAGTCTGTTTTAAAAATAACCTTGTGGTATTACCATACAATAAAACAAAAAGCAACATTGAATTCATCTCTTCAATATTACCAACGTTTTCAATAGTGCTGGTATTATTGCAATTTTCTCACCAAAAAGTGATTTTAAATGGACGAGACTATAATACTGAATAAGCAACGCCGTAAATTGTGTATACATAAAGACAAACAATATAGGAGTTATGTACAGGCTAGATGAGTCGTGTTTTATATGCATACATTTGATGCCACTGTCATCTCATTGACCGTAATAATCTGCATAAAATTGTTGCATCTATATAAACTTTTGATAGGCACGTAATTGAATTCAGAATAATCAAATACATATACACAAAATAATTACGATGTTTATGCTGGAATATGCAAATATGCTGCGCACTGGCCTGCTAGTTTTAGGACTGGAGTACCAGGGATCGAAGCCAATGCTCAGTGAGTTGGTGCTTTCATATAACCAGTGACATCACAAGATGCAGCTGGGCTCACGGTATGATGGTGGGAGTGGGTTTGCTACCTGCCTGGTAATCTAATTGACCTCGGGTTCGTATCCTTTCCTCGGGAGGGTAGTAGTGATTTCATATAAGTTTTAGGATTGTCGTTCATTCCCAGCTGGGTCGAGCCGCCTCTACTCTTGACCCACATGGGCGGAGGATCAAGTCTCCAACACGCTGAATGACCCACATGGGTTTAGTGCTTACCGTTAATACACTAAAGTAACCCCAGATGACCAATCAGTTAAATTAATTGCACCAACACATTTTTCATTTCTTCGTCTACATCTTTGTCTTTTTCATCTTCTTCTTCTTTTATTACTATTATTATTATTATTTTGTTTTATCTATATTCATGGAGAAACGCTAAATTCATTAGGGTCATACAACGCCTGGAAAATGAGAGGCAATCAGGTTTGGTTCAGTAAGAGGAGGGTGGCACCAGCATCAAGGCCTAGGAGGAGGGTGGCACAGCATCAAGGCCTAAGAGGAGGGTGGCATCAGTATCAAAGCCTAGAGGACGGTGGCACCAGCATCAAGGCCTAGGAGGAAGGTGGCACCAGCATCAAGGCCTAAGAGGAGGGTGGCACCAGCATCAAGGCCTAGGAGGAAGGTGGAACCAGAATCAAGGCCTAAGAAGAGGGTGGCACTAGCATCAAGGCCTAGGGGTTAACTTTTTTCTCCATAAACAAGTATCTGATAGACGAAATTTACCGAATAATTACTTTTTTCCTTCGCCAGTGTAACTGTGTGTCATTCACTCCGATGACAATCAGAAATGTCAGCTGCGTGAATCAACTGTGAGAAAAGTGCAGATCGAAAGAACAGCTTATCAGAGAACACTGTTGGATAGCTGCTCCAAGCACTGTTATTGAAAGAACATGAACATCAATTCCAAAAAAATAACAGTTATCAGTAATTCCAGGAAAAGAAGAGCTCAGAGTGTGATGAAGAATTAGACACAAGTACTACAACTGGTAGGCGTTCCGTCAACCAGTGGCTTTATCAATACAAATTCCAGAACATAGTTGGAAGACAGAACTATTTACATAAGATAAGGTAATCAGTCCCTCAGCCTTGTAGTTAGTGAAGAGCACTACGATGGTCTTAATTTTGTGTTGATAGAGCCACTGGATGGCGAAACGTCTACAATAAAGATACCAGATATTATACACGAATATAATTGTTCAGCTTGTCTGTACTGTATATAATTCATGTACAGCTCAGTGTCCCACTGGAACGGCTCCCAGTATCACCACCAAAATAACAATTATAAATGTCTCTACTGGATGAGTGGTTGTCAGTATTACCACTGTGAAAACTGCTCTATGTAACGCTAGTGGGAATACGCTTCAAAACAGCCCCACCGAGAGCAATATTTACACGGACACAGTTTACCACACCACGGGCGGGATAGAACCCACGGTCAGAGAGTCATCAAGCTCCGGACCGACGCGTTATCCACTGAGTCTTGTTTACAAACAGATATCGCTAAGATGAATATCAGATGACAGAGAAGCGAAGCTTTTGTGTCACGAATGACAGGTACCTTGTTTTCCTGTTGACACTAAATCCCTTCTCCACTGCCCCTCCCACATGTGCTCACACACACACAACACAAACGGAAGAGAGACACTCCAGATTATGGCTATAACGCGCACATAAAGCCAACGGTCCGCGTGAACCAGCAGTTTATCGTCGGGCAATTTCACTTTGGAGAACACTTTTACAAGTCTCCAAGACATTCGTGGAAAAATAAGTTTGTTTTGCGTGCGTGCGTGTGTGTGTGTACTCACCTAGTTGTGCTCACTTAGTTGTAGTTGCAGGGGTTGAGTCACAGCTCCTGGTCCCGCCTCTTCACTGGCCGCTACTCGGTTACTCTTCCCGCTCCATGAGCTTTGTCATACCTCTTCATGAAGCTATGTATGGATCCTACCTCCGCTACATCACTTCCCAGACTGTTCCACTTCCTGACAACTTTGTGACTGAAGAAATACTTCCTAACATCCCTGTGTGTGTGTGTGTGTGTGTGTGTGTGTGTGTGTGTGTGTGTGTGTGTGTGTGTGTGCATTAAAATTTAAAATGGTTAAAACACATATTTATTTTGTGTTCCATATCTAGATCTCTTTCTAGCAGTCTCCCACTCTATTAACGAAAAAATGTCCGGGGCCCAAGACTGTTCAACAGCCTTCCACCAGCCATAAGGGGAATTACCAATAGACACCTGGTTATCTTCAAGAGGGAGCTGGACAAACACCTAAAGTCAGTGCCGGATCAGCCGGGCTGTGGTTCGTACGTTGGACTACGTGCGGCCAGCAGTAACAGGAAGCCTAGTCATGGACCGGGCCGCGGGGGCGTTGATCCCCGGAATACCCTCCAGGTAGACTCCAGGTATTTTTATAACGAACACTTCTGGTTTCTTATTCTCTCGTGATATTATATGTAAGTACATATGTACTTATGAAAATTTGTTTTAAGTTTATGTTTGATTGCCTAAATTAAATCCCAAAATTTATAAATTTAGCAGAAAAAAAAATTGTCAATCGTGCATGGAATGCTTGTTCTAGTTTTAAATTGTGACACCACAAAATTATCTACGAACATGAATATTTCATAGGAAATGTTTATAGTAGTTGTTATTACTGAGCACTACGAGAATTTGCAAATATATTACTGGAACCTCCACTAGGGTTCATTGGAGCACCAAAGAATTAAATAAAAATATCTTATGACCATACTTAGGGCCATTAATTTATTAGGAGGAATTTAGCAGGGCTTTTTTCCCCAATCTCTTCCCCAAATAAATTTTAGATTAACTTTAACAAAAACAAATTTACCTTCAGATCGATTGTAAAAAAAATGGGAGATTTTGTCATTTGCTCTCGGGTCCAGAGTTGTTTACTTATTGTACTGACCCAACTGCGATGTTCGATACGTGGGTAGCACTATACACCTACATATGCAGGAGTAGCACTGCACACCTACACATGCAATGGGTAGCACTGTACACCTACACATGCAGGAGTAGCACCTTACACCTACACATGCAATGGGTAGCACTGTACACCTACACATGCAATGGGTAGCACTGTACACCTACACATGCATGGGTGGCGCTGTATACATACACATGCAGGATTAGCCCTGTACACCTACACATGCAGGAGTAGCAATGTATACCTACACATGCAGGGGTAGCACTGTGTGTACACATACATATAAGTGGGCAACACTGTACAGAGTAACACTGTGTTTATATATAAACATTAGTGAGTAGCACTCTACACCTAAACATTAATGGATAACATTGTGCTTACAAATACACGTAGGTAGTATTTTACACTTTCGCATATATGGGTAGGTTTAGCAGTGAAAGTAGGTCTTGTGAGTGTAGGACTGGGAGTGTAGGACTGGGAGTGTAGGCTTGAAAGTGTAATGCTGGCAGTATAGTCCTGGCAGTGTAGGTCTGACATCGTAATTCAGACACTGTTGTCTAGATAGTGGTATGCCTGCTATTGGCGCGGTCCAAATGACCCTTGACACTCTGAATCTAGGCATGCCTCAAGGACATCGGGTTCCCGCGCTGTTTATAAGACCAGCAGTCACCCACATTCCTGCACTAGTACCAGACTCTCCCTTTCTGGAGCAACGCAGCATGCTTCTCCTGGTGAGTATCGATTGTCTCCCCTTTAAATGGGATCACATAAAACCATCACCTAATTCCACTCTGCTGGTTGGTTAATAGGGCCATTAAGGCTGTACGTGATCCGTTCGCCAAATTTAGAATACTTTTAATCGCTAAAATAGGGGTTAAATTAACGTCACAGCATATAGACGTGTATATATTGGATATATACACCTCGTGGTGTATATATCCAATCTATTATTTGCTTTTACGAAACAAAAAAGTGAATGTGGCTAAATTCTTGATTCCTGTTACGCTGAGCAGTTTACTTTTTCGATAATTATAAAGTGAATTATTTTACACTGGACATTAATATATAATAGACTTTAATATATAATTTATTGGGCTTCAATATGTAATTCATTGAATTTTAATATATTATTCATTGGATTTTATTATAAAAAGAATTTTTATATAAAATTCATTATACTTCTTGTAAACTGAACAAGCAGAGTGTCTGGTGGTAAGCAGAAGTAAGATTGAGCCTTCATTAGGTGGCCCGGTGGCCTGGTGGCTAAAGCTCCCGCTTCACACACGGAGGGCCCGGGTTCGATTCCCGGCGGGTGGAAACATTTCGACACGTTTCCTTACACCTGTTCACCTAGCAGCAAATAGGTACCTGGGTGTTAGTCGACTGGTGTGGGTCGCATCCTGGGGGACAAGATTAAGGACCCCAATGGAAATAAGTTAGACAGTCCTCGATGACGCACTGACTTTCTTGGGTTATCCTGGGTGGCTAACCCTCCGGGGTTAAAAATCCGAACGAAATCTTATCTTATCTTACTACTCTCTGCTGACAGGAGCTTTCTGCTGACAGCAATGAAAATACAAGGTATCAGCCACATGATTCAGCCATATGTGTCAGTATCTTTTGTTAGCGACATGTCAGCAACGCGTCAAAAAACACTAACAATCGGAAGATAGAGAGCGAATTGTTAACAGTGGTGGTATACAATACCGCAAGTTGAATAAACATGTTCAACACCTGAGAACCTTTTCTCTGAAGACGTTCTTAGCGCTTCTTTTTTGTTATAATAATAATAATCTGAAGACGTCTTAAGAATAAAGATGCGCAGGTGTTGCATTTGTCTTATTCACCAGAGAATGAAGTGTTGAGAACATCTTATTATCATTATTATATTAAGACACATGTGCAACATCTGGGTATCTTTATTGTAGACGTTTCGCCATTGGATGGCGATCCAATGGCGAAACGTCCACAATAAAGATACCCAGATGTTGCACATGTGTCTTAATTTCATCTTGTCGGTATTGTATACCATTCTTGCACATCATTATTATATTCACAGAGACGTGCTAAATCCGCATGGGTCATTCAATGCAAGGAGAAGTAGAGGCTCGATCTTCCGTTCGCTAATTATGTAAAGTTCAGTCATTTGTTTATGAAGCAAAACGGATAATTATTCAAGAGGCATAAATGGAAATGTTTTCAAGAGGATTCCCTTCAGTGGAAGTTGCCTTGATGCTGGCGCATGGCTCTTCATCCAAGGAATTAGAGCTATCCTTCCATTGCATTTAAACCTGATATCCTCCCAAGCCACAGGCACTGTGTGACTCATACGGATTTAACGCTTCCCTACGAATTAATAAAAACGTAAATAATAAGAGTGAATAAAAAATGAGAGAAATTTGGATTATTATTATTATTATTATTATGAAAATAAGCGCTAAATCCGTAGGTGTCATGAAGAGTTGAGGAACTTCTGACTCGAGTATTGAGGACGACCTCAGTCTGAAACACGACCTTTTGTGATAAGTGCTGGGAGAGGACGACTTTTGTGAAAAGCGTTGGACGAGGGCGACCTTTGGGAGAAACGCTGATGAGGGCGACCTTTATGAGAAACGTTGAGTGAGGGCAACCTTTGTGAGAAACGTTGGGCGAGGACGACATCTGTGAGAACTGAGAAGTGTTGAGAAAGGACGACCTCTGTTTGAGATGAAGGTTCTTAAGCTCAGGATTACCTGGGTGGACTGAATGGGAGCGAAATTTATGCCAAGGAGAGAGAGAATATTTTAAGAAGGAGGTGGAAGGAGACGAAGCGAGAGGTGTGGGTGTTGATGGGGAAAATGAACGGAGGAGATGCGAGAGGGAGATTAAGTAAGCAACGTGTGCGTTGGTGAGGAAAATTAACGTAGCGGAGATGAGAGAAGGGGAAGATGAAGCTAGCGGTGTGGATAAAGAAAATGATGAGAGATGAAGACAATGGGTAAAGAAGCGAGAACTGGAGGAGAGACAAAAGAGATAAAGGGTTGAAAACAATTAATTTGACTCCTCTCTACTGCAATATTCTTCTCATTTATATTCAAATAATTTCTACTCTTTTGCAATTCAATAACCTGAACTTAAAATGGAGATCAAGAAGCTTAAATAGCAATTAGTATAATCAAGAACACCTTTGTACAGCAGATCATTACGGCTCCCATATTAAATTAAAATATTGTTAAACATTGAACAATAACTTGCAAATGAAGACTATCTCAGGCTTTTGTAATCAAATCAGCATTACTGAACAAAGAATCTTGAGAGAGTCGATATACTGAACCGTGTTTCCACTAACAATATGTAATATATGAATTAGCAAAGTATCAAACGTCACTCCAATATTCATCAAAGGAGACAAAACTTATGCTTTCAACTTAGCTCCATTATGTTAGGTAAATAGACACACATGCAATTAATGTGGCATTTTGTTGCGGCAACGTTTCGCTCTCCAGGAACTTAATCAAGATGTGATGACTTGGTAAAGCTTCTGGAGAGCAAAATGTTGCCACAATAAATTGTCACAATATTTGCATATGTATCCATTTTCATAACATTTTCTTGGTAATTCTACCATTATTACCCTTAGTTCTATTAGTTTGAATTTAGTGATTGAAAAACGAATGGTAACTATTTTCTGGCGACAGTATCGTGAGATGGAAGAAAATAACTATTAATCGATTTTCACACTTATTACTAAATTTACTAGATTTCATTAAATAATAAAAGAAATATATCCCACTGTGGCAGTATACACATATCTAAAAAAAATATTGATAAAATGTTGCCCAAAAATAATGTAATCAGAGACAAGCTTCAAGCCTTGAGCAACGATAGGAAGAATAGAATGGTAAAAAATATCTTTCTTATGACTAGATAAGGACAGATCAGAGATTCTTAACTAGTCTAGCTTACAGAATATATGGCCGAAATGAGTTGTTGGCTCCTTTATATCCTCTAAATTGTTTTATCATTATTAAGAGGTTACGTCTAAGTCTGCTGGAATAATGTCATTCCAGAACACTTGAGGGGAAAGGGGTGATACTCTGTATTCTTAATGGGGTGTAAATCTTGGCTTCAAAAAGAAGGCCAGTTAATGGGTCATCATCTCAATAAGATGATTGTCAGGAGACACTCGTCAGACCAGGTGTTGAACAGATGATGAATAATGGGAAGTTATTTGAGATATTAGATATAACTCGCATTTCGCTGTCACTATGTATACTTGCTGACATATTTTACGAGTCATAAGAACAAAACATGATTTAACAGAGCCAGAAAGACATCTAATGAAAAATGATATTGTAAAGAAATAACGGGATAACCCAGGAAATATCAGAGTTGCTGAACATAAAGGATAATCCTGACGGATCTGTCCTCGACCTATTCCTTTTCAAAATTTACTTGACTGATACTGAGACGGATCGATCATTAAATAATCACGACGATTGTCGATGACAAGAAGCTTGAATGACTCACGAAATCGTAATGACACGATTGCAAACAAACCATACCACGGGCGGGGTTAGAACCCGCGATCAGAGTGTCTCAAAACCCCAGACCGAGGGTTCTAACCTCGCCCGTGGTATGGTTAAGAAGTTTGAATATTACTCCAGATGTGAGCCTGACTACAGAAATATTCAGACGAACTTTGATATATTAGAGCTGTGGTGGAGACATGGTGAATTCCCTCTATTGTACATTATTAATATTATTAACGTGAGGTGCTAAACCAGTGTGGGTCATTGAGCACATGGAGTAGTCATGGCTCGATTCTCCCTTCGCTAACAGGACAGAATTCTTCTCTTGCAGTAAATTATTCTCCAAAACAAGAACCGTAGGGGTATACAGCGCATTTTAAAGCAGAAAAATATAATGTTAAAGCATTTTTATGCCAAATGCAAATATACTTTGCTAGAAACCTAGTTATCCTTCATTAAAAAAAAGAGGAAGACCTAGAAGAAATTATTAAAAATGACTTCTAACAACAAAATGTCCTGCTATAAGCAATGAAGTTAACAATGATAGACTTCTTAACTATAAATTTCGAATACAGGATCTCAGAAACAGTACTGACACTCCACAACGTGCTTACTAGATCTTGACTTAAATATGCAATGCAGTATTGATCTTCGGATTACAGTATATAAAAGACAAAGAGAAGAGGGCACAGAGCTGGACAACGAAGCTAGAACCTTCATTACAAAGAAATCAGATGAAGGTACTCAAGGTACTGAATCTGTTTTATCAGTCTACTGTCCTAACCTCTTCTGTCTAGCTATTACTAAAAGCTAATTATTAGTTTATACTTTATCAGAAGAAAATTATATGATCTGTAAGCTCTCCAGTTCTATTTCTCCGATACTAGTTCTGTCTGTCTCTTGCCGTCTGATGCGGTGGTGAGATAATACCTTCGCATGTCGTCAGCAACTTCGGGGATTCAATATTCGACCGAGAGAGGGCAGGAAATGTATATTATTTACGAATATTTATATTTATAATATAAAATTATATTACAAATATTCAGTTATAAAAATTAAATGGTTAATAGATTAACCTCTTAAGGAAAATGAATCACCCTTTCCTCTCTCTCTCTCTCTCTCTCTCTCTCTCTCTCTCTCTCTCTCCTCTCTCTCTCTCTCTCTCTCTCTCTCTCTCTCTCTCTCTCTCTCTCTCTCTCTCTCTCTCTAAAAGACTGATGCGTCAGAAAGTAAAATGGGATGTTATTAATGATTTTAACTCTGGTATGAATAAGGTACAGTTAAGGTGTATTAATGATGATGTATTAAAGAGGATGTATTGCAGGTGGTATTGAGTGTTGTTGGTGCAGCCGTGGGTCAGGTGTACCCCCAGGACACACCTGAGGTAGCAGCGGCTCGCGACGCCTTCATCAGGGAGTACAATCGCCTGGCACTGCTGGCTGCAGAAGCGCCGGATATAGATATCTACGTAGGTCGCAGTAGCCAAGCCCATTACGGCGCTCCTCTCACCAGAGTTCACCACACACCATCCTTTAACACCTATGCCTACTCTTCCAATTACGGCGGCCACCAGCACTCGCATTCAACCTCCGGCCACCTTGCTGGCCATCTTGCTGGCCACCTTGCTGGCCACCTCGCTGGCCATGCAACACATTACACTCCTACTGCTTATTCGGCTCCAGTGCAGAAATGGAATGGTCCTCTAGCCGATACGGTTCCCGCTGGCCTGAACGGCAAGGTAGAAGATACTCCAACCGTAGCTGCCGCTAAAGCTGTACACATGGCAGCCTTACAGAAAGCCGGATACGGTACGAAACAGGCTACTGCATACGTGACCGGACACTTGGGTGGACATATAGCCGGTCACCTGGCCGGACACTCGGCCGGGAGCCTGTATTCACGATTGCCAGCACACCATGTGTCTCACTATGCGGGTCCAATCTGGAAGGGGCCGCTAGCTGATACCGTTCCTGCGGGCGTTGACGGAGTGGTGAAGGACACCCCGGGAGTGGCTGCCGTCAAGGCCGCCCACTTGCAAGCAGTGGCCGCCGCCCTGGGTTACCAGGGCCACCGCTTCTGAGTGTATTGATACACGTCCTCAAGGAGTGCGAGTGCCAGGTGTGTAGGCCGGAGAAAGCGAGAGCCATCCAGTTTTACCACCTGGGAAACTAGGAGAGGCATACACAGTCACCATCTGGGAGTGGCAAACGCAGTCACCATCTGGGAGAGGCATACGCAGTCATCAAATGGAAGAGGCGTATGCAGTCACCACATGGGAGAGGCGTATACAGTCACATGCTGAACAGTTAGGGAAGGTGTACAGTCACCAGCTAAGCAGACTGGAGAGGTGGGCAATCTATTCAGCGTAATCACTGATAATGATTAACTTCTGATATTATCATTACATAATAAACTAGTTTTCTTAATATATGTATTATTATCCTTTAGAAATACATATTCTCTTATTGTGTATATTCTTAACTGAAAAAATATATCATTGACTTCAATAGCAATCATGAACATTAAGGATTATAGGATCACTGCAATACATATATTAATTAGCTTTTGAGTATGTTGAAAGCGTCATAATATCCATTACATAATAAACTACAGTACAATGCAATCATTATGTTATAATGTCATAAGTTTCATACAACAGTAATCCATAACAATAACATGATACAACTTGTCTTGACAGGAAGCCAACAGTTAGGCAGACAGCTGTTTCTGTGTCGTAAATAACGGACGAAGAATCGAGCCTTCACTACTTGCACTGAGTTACTCACTCTGGTTTACCGCCCTATGTACAATTAGGTAATCGTCGTGACAAGAAATGAAATCATGAGTTCTTAGGTTGTAGCAGTTAGGAAGCAGTGTAACTAAGAATGTTACGCCTGTGTATCGATCAGTATAGATATCATATAGATAACTTCTCTGCTGAATTACCAACACAGGTTAAGTTGATTACATAAATAGATATATAGTATAGTTCTCTAGAGTAGACACATTATATTTGTGTGTATTATCATCTGTAAAATAATACAAAACGATCCATCGCCCTGGGGACTCCCATTTTCTGAGTGAGACAACGGCTGTATTCACACTGCCTCTCTGACTTTCTACCCTCTGCTTACCTATTGCAACATAATAGCTATTGCATAACTCTTGAAGAGGCACTCTTTGCAGTGCGAAAGACCTAGAGCTAGATTATTTCACCTCTTATATTATATATATATATATATATATATATATATATATATATATATATATATATATATATATATATATATATATATATATATATATATATATATTCTTTCTTTCAACGTACCAGCCGTATCCCACCGAGGCGGGGTGGCCCAAAAAGAAAAACAAAAGTTTCTCCTTTTAAATTTAGTAATATATACAGGAGAAGGGGTTACTAGCCCCTTGCTCTCGGCATTTTAGCCGCCTCTTACGACACGCATGGCTTACGGAGGAAGAATTCTGTCCCACTTCCCCATGGAGACAAGAGGAAATAAACAAGAACAAGAACTAGAAAGAAAATAGAAGAAAACACAGAGGGGTCTGTATGTATATGTTTGTACATGTATGTGTAGTGTGACCTAAGTGTAAGAAGAGGTAGCAAGACGTACCTGAAATCTTGCATGTTTATGAGACAGAAAAAAGACACCAGCAATCCTACCATTATGTAAAAGAAATACAAGCTGTCGTTTTGCACTCACTTGGCAGGATGGTAGTACCTCCCTGGGTGGTTGCTGTCTACCAATCTACTACCTACAATATTATATATATATATATATATATATATATATATATATATATTATATATATATATATATAATATATATATATATATAATCGGAGAGAGAGAGCGAGCGGGAGGATAAATTAATATTAAGTGATACAAAATATAGAAAAAAATGGATCATGACGAAATATAATGGAGAATCATATAAAGAGAAAATGGATTAAGATAGATAAGAAAAGCCTTCACCCAAAAGCCAGTTGATTGGAGTACGATAGTGGACACTAGCTGGACTGGCTCACACGTTGAGATCAGATGATAAAGGTCAGGAAGTGACAAAATACTGCTGACCAAATATGGGTCAGAAAATTCTTAGAGAAATCAATGTTTTTGTCTAGCTGTGCCTGTTGTTGATAACCTTGAAGGAATAACGAAGAGTTTTCTGCGAGGTGTCACGCTCAGAGTCCACCTGATAACCCTCTGTGGGAGGCACAATTTTCAGTACTCCCCCTATTCACCCTTCAAGAGTGAAAAGCTTCTATATCTTCACATGAAAGATTCAAAGCTGTCAAATATGAAAAGAGGTCCCTCGGCCCTTTCCTAACATGAAGGTGTAGCGGAAAACTACTTATAGGTAGGATTTTGCCCTGTCATTTACTTGTTTAAGTAGAGCGAGGTGTTTTGTACGTTCCTACACGCTGTAATTTTGAGCTATTCATACAGGGTTTTGCTACTCTTGTACGTTCCATGAGTTGCTGGTGGTTGGTTGTAGTGTTATGGTGCTCGCTCATGTACCGGCGTTGCTCCATCATGATGTAACTATACTGATGAGCTTCTGAAAGTTTGTGTACCGAGAAAACTAAGTAGGTACGCCAATAATTTAACTACTAGAAATGGTTTGGTGTTATGGTTTAGAGCACTTTAGCTGCATAGTCCAGCCTGCCAATGAGATTAATGCGAAAGTTCCAACCTCACTTATCATCCATATGATATACTGTCGTGCCGAATAGGTAAAACTTGTCAGTTAGCAAGAAGTTTTACGTATTCGGCACGCCTTTTATATATATATATATATATATATATATATATATATATATATATATATATATATATATATATATATATATATAAAACTTTCTATTCTTTTCTGTATGCTACTTTTTTCTGTTGTCCATAGATGTATGACTGATAATGGTGATGTGCTGATGCAGGAAACTGAAGAAATCAGTCAGTTTCGCTACAATTATATGGTTAATGTGACCGTACGTTGCGATCTCTGGATCACATGCTGGTTGTTCCACCTATACAACAACTGTCATTTCCCAACACTGACGTCATTTCTAAACACAGATGTTATTTAGTAACAGCGATGTGATTTTCACTTCCCATTATTAGCGTCATTTCTCAGTCATTTCTCACACATACTTTTCAAACGCAATTATTATTTCCAAACAAAGATGTCATTTCCCAACACAGATGGCATTTCTCAAGATGTTTCTCGTCTGTATCGAGCATTGGAACCCACAAATACTAGCTGAGTTCCGGCAGGCCATTACCAGGTGCTGGTGAGATTGGTGAAGAGGGGAGTGGAAGAGAGGAAGAGGAGTAGAGGGAGAGAGAGAGGGGAGTAGAGGGAGAGAACAGAAAAAAAGAAGAGGAATGGTAAAGGGGTACTGAGGCGTGAGGGAGGAGGAGTTGAGAAAGGGAGTCGATCACATAAGGTCAAAGTTGAGTATAACAGGATAGGTAGAGACAAGCTTAGAGAGAGAGAGAGAGAGAGAGAAGAGAGAGAGAGAGAGAGAGAGAGAGAATTATGTTTTAAAGATAACAGAAACCTTTAACGTCCACGCGGAGGCTTTATGCTAAGGTCTATTTCCTTAAGAACTCTCTCACGAATTATCTAGATGTTGCAGCAAGAAAAGTAAAGCCGAAGGCTCTGTCTCTCTCCCATCACTCCCTCCGGTCACTACTGTCCCAAAAATGGGTTGTGTATTGCTCCAGTCACGGTATTGAGCCTCTTTGTTCTTTATACTATAGGAAAGATGGCATGCAATTGACTCGGGAGATGAAGTGGGGTGAGGGAATGGGTTTCAAACATCCTCTACATTTTATTACAGTTTCTAGAGTAATTACTCGTTTTACTCCACTTTGCCTACTGTCTCTACTTCTAGTTACCACTTATTTTACTTTAGAATATTGTAGTGTGGGTGGACGCAGACCACTACAGAGTCTGCACAGTTTCGAAGCATATGCTTACATTACAACAATTACCAGTGCTACCTTGGGTGGTTCATTGTTGACTGTTCGTCCTGATGTAGCAGCTGAACCATTATCAGGAATCAGTTGATTACAGTTTGCCACAGCACAGTATGCAGCTGAATCCTATGCTAGCAAAGTACTTGTCCAGTTGGTTCTTAAATGTCGGTGTTGTCTTCACGCTCATGGCTTCAGCAGGAAGTCTGTGTCATTCTATTACAATTCTGGTTGCAAAAGGAAAAGTTTTGCACACGTTCGTGTTGTATCCCTTGTCTCGAAGAGAGAGAGAGAGTGTGAGAGAGAGAGAGAGAGAGAGAGACTTGGCGATTTTTATGTTGTACAGTGTGCAGACGGGTTACATTTTCCCCTCTCTAGTGTCGTAATAAATAAAGCTTCATAGAGTAGTCAGCATTATAGAAGAGCTTCTTCCAGGGTCTGATCGATGTGATGCTTCCCTGCAGCAGTTGCTGCCCTCATGACACACCCACCAAACTTCGTAAGCTTAGTAAAAGCGAATTTATAGCAAATCTAAGAACATTATCAGCTTACTCGAACTGCGACTTGAAGTGCTTTGAGCTCTCCCACCTTATGGTCATAATATTCTTGATTGTTGTATCACTTGTCTTTCCTTCACCTCCCCTTCTCTGTCACTATCGCTGTCATTTTCCTAAGTCCTTCCGTCCCAGTTTATTTTGCACCTCTCTTCATTCCCTTTTCCCCTCTCTTTTTTTCCTTTTTTTCTTCTTCCTCTCTCTTCTGTCACTCCTTCACTCATCCTCCACTCACACCTTTCCACAATCTCTCTTCCCTCCAATACTCTCTCGTTAATCCCTCATCCTTTCCCCTGTCTTTACCTCCTTCACTATTTCTCCTTTAAGTCTTTCACTCTTCCTGAAGGACATTTCGTTGGCTCCCAAGTTCGTACGTTATGAAATTTACGTAATATATTACATTATTTGTATAACAAAAATATAACTGAATAACGACATTAACTATATTGTTAATAATAGTAAAATAATTATGATATTGCTAATGATGATAATAAAAAGAACAGAAATGATACACAAATAACCCGCACATGGAAGAGATGAGCTGACGACGACGTTTCGGTCCGACTTGGACTATTTACAAAGGCATATTGAGCCTTTTTGTTATTTTACGGTAATAATATAATAATAATAATAATAATAATAATAATAATAACAACTGTAATTATGACTTCTTTTATTATTTTCAAGACATTAACAGCTATAAGAGAAGCAATATACAACACTACTTTGGAACCCGTTATGTTAACAATAAGATCAACAATGGTTTAGAAAACCAGCCAGTGGCTTCTTCAGTCCCATGCAGTGTTTAAGGTAATCAGTCCCTCAGCTTGGAGTCGACTTCAGGCCGAGGGACTGATTACTTCAAACTACT